ATTTTCAGCCCTCATTCCCTCTTGTTCCCCATTACCTTATTAATTTAAGGACATTTAATACCCACTAACAAGTCACTAACATTAAAATATTAGCCTAACTGTTCCATTCCCAAATCACCCCTGAAACCCCTTAATATTACTGCCCCTAATACAATTATTCATCTGTATTAAAACCTTTTAACTATAAAATCTGTTCAAACTAACGATGATTTAAAACTAAATCTGACTAACAGCTATAACCAATCCTCCTGACAACTAAATGACTAAGGTTGAGTTCCAATTGAAACTAATGAACTGAATTTAAATCACAACACAGAACTCAACAGAATCATTAAAACTGAAACTGAAAATCGAATCAAAATGAACATGAATGCAGGTTCATTATCAGCCTATTGACAATGCCCTGAAGCTAAGTGTCCACAGATCAAGCACACACAACGACCATTTCACGAACTTATTGGTCTATAAACAAGAACGAATTAATCGACAAAAACTAATTAACCGATTGCCTACAACAATTGATAATAATCAATCTGAAAATAGATAATCAGGCAATTTCAAGCGGCATTGACAAGAACAGGGGGTTATAATAAAACAATTAATCGACGAACTTATTCGAATCGATTACATAACCTATAATTATACACAACAAAGAACAGAAACAAATTCGACCAAATAAAAAGGTCTGAGGGAGAAGAACAGAACAATCGACAGAAACTGAAAAATTAATATAACAATACTAAACAAATGAACAGACATATAAAACATCAAAAATAGAATAAAAGAAAAAAGGAAAAATACCTTAAATGGAACAGAGAACAGACGGACTTGAATCGACTCGAACTTGAACTTTTGAGGTCAAACGGACCTTAATCGAGTGTTCTCAACTGAGAACACTTCGACTAAGGTCAGTTAAACACCCAAAACCTCTTAAACTTCGGATAGAAACCAGTTTTGGTTTTACTAGGGTTCTTACGTTTCGATTAGGGGTTTGAGTGTTTCTATCCAGATTCGAACCAAACCAACGGGGGTTTGGTCATGAGGGAATTCAAGGGGTGCCAGGGTGTGAGTTCAGGGCGGATTGGGGTAGGTCCAGGTTTTGCTCGAATCTTCAAATGAAGATTCGAGAAGTTTGAGGATGATTCGAAGCAAACGGGTACTGGATTTGGATTGGGGGTGGTTAGGAGGTTCAGGGGTGTTATTTTGGTGGTCGACGGTGTCATTGCCGCCGGGTTTCAGGCGAAGGAATGCCATGGCGGCTAGGGTTTGGGGGGAGGGGCTTCGTCTCTGAGAGACGATGATGAACAGGGGTTTGGATTGGGGGGCTGGGTATGAGGTTTCATTTATATGGTGGGGTGGTGGTTTGATCTTGGCCGTTCGATCAAGAGAGATCGAGGGTCTAGATCAGTTCACTTAACTCAAACAGTGTCGTTTGGAGTAGTACTGGGGCGGTCCGGGTATTGGAGTGACGGGTCGGGGGTCGGGTTTGGTCAAAGCTTTGGGACCATTTGATCAGCTGAGATCAACGGTCCAGATTGAAACTCCTGAGACAACGTCATTTGGTTGAGGCTGGAGATGGGTTGGATTGGGGCAGGTATTGGGATGACTTGGGGTGACATTGGGCCTGGATTTTCCCTTTTAAAACTGGCCCAATCCGAAAAATTTTACCCCTCCTATCTTGTTTCCTCTTTTTCCCTTTTACTTTCTTTTTAATTCCTAAAACCAAAATACCTAAATTAATTTATAAAATCAAGCTTTTTTAAAAAGAAATTAATTAATCTTTAACAATAATTAACACACAAAATCAAATATTGATTAAAATAAAATCACGCAATTAAATAATGAAATGACAAAGCTACCAAAATTCATATTTTTGTGATTTTCATTCTTTAAAATAGGACATGGTTTAATTAATTCCAAAATGCGTAATTAAATCCTAAATGCACATGCAACACATATTTTTTTTTTGTTTAAGGTAGAAACAAACATGCGGAGACAAAAAAAATACAAATAAATCACTAACAACACAAAACCATTTTATTTTAAATTTTTGGGAGTAGTTCTCATAGGGCAAAAATCACATGCTCACATTTAGTAGGAATTATTGTATTTGTTGTGAGAGGTTCATCGTCAAAACTTTTGGGTTTGCTTTTCTTGAATGGTCCATCACTGATGCAAGTTCTGGCACCGGTAGAAGAGGGAGGAGATAAAATCATAACAAGATTATGTTGTTTGATGGCAGAAGATGAGTTACCGGAGAAGGAAATAGCAAAATACATGGTGGTCGAAATACTGAAATTAGCTATTCAAACTCGAAGATTTCGAATAGAAAAGGGAATTGCAAAATAGTTTGATAAAGAGATGCTGAAAAGTGAAAGATAAAATGGGTGAAAAGGGGAAGTTTATTGACGGTTCAGTAAAAGCCATCATTACCTAGGTAACTGGCGAAACTGTTCATCAAATCATGGAGGAATATGTGTTAATCTCATTAAATACAAAGAGACGTGCATCACTTCAAGTGTCAGAAGTCATTCAAGAACTTCTCCGCCAAGAAAAGAGAAGGTCTTATCTACTTTTCGGTCACATCAAGTTGAGTCACTAGAAAGTAGGGAGGACTACCTGTATTGGGTAAAATCTGCAGTTTTCACATGGCAATGATGACAAGGTGGAGATGAGTCAGCAAATAATTAATACCTGATACAATCAGGTGACCGATATTGTGTAGATTCTAAGAACACGAGGATCGGGAAAAAGAATTTGAAAGTACGGTACCGGTTGGAAAGAACAACATTAAAGGAGCAGCCATTAAAAAAATCACATTACTTATTCCCAACGTTATGTAACCATCAAGAGGGGATTTTATTCATCTTTATTAGGGCGTAATTTTGGGATCTTGTCTCCTTTGATTTAACTATAAATAGCAATATTTGTACTCATTGTTAGGAAACGAAATACTAGAATCACAAACGCTCTCTCTCTCTCTCTCATTTTATTATTTTCTTAAGTTTAATACAAGGCTAATATCGAAGCTTTCCAATTATTCTTGATTCCAGTGGGATCAATTTGAATTTCAGGCTTGTTCTTTCCTAAATTATTTTGGTTTTATTTCCATTATTCTTCATTATTTTACTAATCATATCAACTTAATCCACGCATCTATAAACTATGTATATAAATTTAACTATACCTTTTTACGGATAAACATGACGAGGATAAAATAATATGGGTTGAGCATTTTAAAGAGAAAGGGAACGCAACAATGAACAAGTAAAGTTAAGTCAAAATACAAAAAACTATGTGTCTCTAGTAGCACAATAAAACAAGAAGGAGAAAAAAGATGAAGTTATGGAAGTTCAAAAATGTGGAAGAAGTAGAACTACGGGAAACTTACAACAACAACAACAACCCAGTATAATCTCATTTAGTGGGATCTGGGGAGGGTAGTGCATACGCAGACCTTACCCCTACCCTAGGGTAGATATGCTGTTTCCAAATAGACCCCCGACATTCTTCCCTCCAAGAACTTCCCACCTTGCTCTTGGGGAGACTCGAACTCACAACCTCTTGGTTGGAAGTAGGGGTTGCTTACGGGAAACTTAAGAAATTAATATAAAATATCTGTTAATAACTTAAATGTTAACCATGGTTAGCGCTTTGATATGGTTAATTAATCTCAATTTATAATTTTTAACCATTATATGTGGCTCACATCCAAGTAAGAATTTGGGGAAATAGAAAGAATGAGAAATGGAGGAGCCCTCTTATTATTTTTTTTTTTCAATTTCTCATTTTGGACTTGACAAATCAACCATGGGTGACTTCTTCATTCTTGTAAGTAATTGACTGCTGCAATACTAGAAGGATTCAAGAAATTAATATGTTTTTTAAATATTCTCGTGGGACAAGCACGTAGAAGCTCGCAAAAGATTTGGGAAAAGACTTGAAGATGGTCCATAAAACAGACTTCGAAGGCAGAAAACTATTATAAGTAGACCTCACGACACGAATTACATATTAAGGGGTGGTTTGGTTCGAACACAAGTTATGGTGGGATTAATTATATTGGGTTAGTTATCATGATATTATTTCTTATTGATTGTTTAGAGTTTTGTATTAATTCTGGGATTGTCAATTTTACCGCTGCATCCTCGGATAACTTATCATAGGATTATTGTTCCACCCTCTGACATGTATAAGTTATCCCAATATTATTTTTAATTATGGAATAACTTATTTTAGAATTAGTAACCAAACAAGAGATAATACGGTACTAAATAGTTATCCTAAGATAATTTTTGCTTGTCCTATGGTACCAAATGGCAAATGACATGTAAATACGAGAATTGCAAGAAAAGGCATGACTTCTTTCACACAAGGGAAACCAAATAGAAGCAATATTAGTTAGAAGAGCATATGTTATTTAGTACTATCTTTCAAATGTATTTACTTAACATACGCTGATGGGTGTAAATAATGTGGTTTCAAGCAATACATTCAGATAAATATTGTCCAACATTTGTGTCAGGCGTAACTAATCTTGAAACCTTCTTCATTCAGTTATGTCTTCTCTGAGTTCCACTGAGGATGGCGTGATCTGTTGTCTCTTTCAAAGCACAGTTTTGATCGATCGGATCCTACCATATGCGAGGCCCACTGGTAATTGAAGTTTCCACTTTCTTTAATTTTACCCATAGTAAGTGGGAAACTACAATTTTTATAGTACTACATAGAAAAAGGACAGTGTTAATTATAAAGACATGTCATTAATGCCATTTTTAGATAGTTCAGTAAGAGAAAATGTGGATGCACGCGGCAGTGAAATATATAGGAACTATGCAAAGGGATTTTGGGCCCATTTTAGTGTTTTCCGTTACAAGGATATTATTGTAATTAGTATTGTACGCATACGTTGTAGTTAGTTTCATTGACAGTTTCTTGTATCTTAATATAAATGAGAGTACTTCTGACCTCTTAAACTCAAGCAGGCCTTTTGTAAACTATTCTGTATTTTAAAATTCAACTTGGTATCAGGAGCACCATGGCTTCCCAAACTTCTTCTTCCACTCAAACTCAAACTTCTTCTCCAAATCAGACTACCTCCACCCAATCCTCTTTGGGTCTTCCAAATCCTCCTCCAACTATTTCTAATATTAAAGGTTTTGTACCTATTGAGTTGACATATCTTAATTATCTTACATGGAAAAAGGTTTTTCTTATTGTTCTAAAAAGTCACAACCTTCTTTCTTTGGTTGATGGCTCTATACCATGTCCAACATCAACCCATGATGAGTATCGACTGTGGATTCAATGTGATACTATAACACTCAGTTGGATTAATGTCACTTTTTCACCTCCAGTTCTTGATTCTCTTCCTAACTATGCTTGTGAAACCTCCAAAGAGGCGTGGGATGTTCTTGCTTCTCTCTACCTTGATCAGGTTTCATCCTCGTCAATTCATCTGAAATCAAAATTTCAGAATTTTAAGAAAGGCTCACTTTCCATGGAGGATTATCTTCAACAACTCCACTCTCTTGCTTGTTCACTTAGAGCAGTTGGAAAACCAGTTTCTGATGACGATTTAGTAACCCAAGCATTGCAAGGACTTCCATCTTCCTATCAAACTTTTGTCTCTGGATTAAATGCTACAGGAACTCTCCCAACTTTTCTAGCATTGCGTCCATTACTTCTCACTGAAGAAGCACATATTAATGCAACAAACAATGATGATCCCACTTCTCACACTGCCTTAGTTGCTTCCACCCCAACACAACCAGTTTCTCAACCCCATTCTTCTACTTTATCTCATACTAATACATATTCAAAAGTATCATACAATGGACGTGGTCATGGTATATCCAACAAAGGCAGGGGTCGAGATCAATACTCTACTCGCTCTAATTTCTCAAATCAATGGGCTGGTTTTCAACAAAATTTTCGTCCTTCCTCTCGAGGTGATGGAGTTCTTGGTCGACCTCCTTTCACGTCGACTAAACAATGTCAAATCTGTTTTCACTTTAATCACACCGCTCTCGAGTGTAGGAACCGTTTTAATCATTCTTATGTTCCCAATTCACTTCCAAAATCATTTGCTGCTATGAATTTGGAGGAAGTCCAGCCTTCTATATGGTATCCTGATTCTGGTGCTTCTGCGCATATGACGAACAATCAATCTTTGTTATCATCTCCCTCTACTTACATTGGTTCGTCACAGGTGATGGTTGGAAATGGTAATCTTCTTCCCATTTTATCTACTGGTTCTTCATCTATTATTACGTCTTCGAAGCCTCTTCAATTAAAGAATGTTTTGTATGTTCCCTCTCTACAAAAGAATCTAATGTTAGTTCAGCGTTTATGTGCGAATAACAAAAATTGTCTCATTGAGTTCACTGACTCTGGTTTTTTTGTTAAGGACAAGAAAACCAAGCAAGTGTTACTCCGTTGTGAGAATGATGGCTCTCTCTATCCAGTTCACACAGTCTCCAGTCGCTCCTCTCATGTTGCTCTTTCAAGTATTGTCTCGCCTTCCTTTCTTTGGCACCAACATTTAGGCCATCCGGGGCAACGTTCTCTTGCAGCTTTAGTTCGTAGGGGTTTTATTCCATGTAATTCATCGTTTGAAACTTCTGGTTGTAATATTTGTCACCTAGGCAAACAATCTAAGTTGCCATTTAATTCCTCTCATAATATTGCACACTCTCCTTTTGTTTTAATTCATTCAGATGTGTGGCAAGCTCCATTTAGTTCAAATTCTGGTTTTCGTTATTATATTTTATTTCTTGATGACTACACAAAGTACTCTTGGATTTATTTAATGAGGAACAAATCAGAGGCGTTTGATAAATTCAAAGAATTCTATAAAATGGTCTCAAACATTTTCAATTCATCTATTACATATTTTCAATCCGATGGTGGCAGAGAGTATAACAATTCTCTTTTTCGTTCTTTTTTTTAGTGAGCATAAAATTATTCATCGCTTCTCTTGTCCATATACCTCCGCTCAAAATGGTCATGCCGAAAGAAAGCATCGACATGTTAATAATCTGATACGATGTCTTCTTTTTCAAGCTTCAATGCCTTTTTCTTTTTGGGCGGATGCCTCTCTTTTTGGGGTTCATTTAATTAATATCACTCCTCTTCCTGTTCTCAATTTTATTCCTCCTTATGAAAAATTGTACGGTAAACCACCAGATTACAATTTAATTAAGGTATTTGGGTGTTTGTGCTACCCTTATGTTGCACATTCTTTTGCTCATAAGTTTCAGCCTCGTTCTACACCTTGCTTATTTCTTGAACTATCTCCTCAACACAAGGGTTTCAAATGTTTGGATCCATCCACTAATCGGATAATTATTTCACGTCATGTAAATTTTATAGAATCCTTGTTTCCCTATGTTTCTATGTTTCCAGGAACCTCTACTACAATTTCAAATCATTATTTTTCTCCATCACCAAAAGCCACGCCACCTTCTCCTACTTTTTCTCCTATTAGTTTGCATAAAACGTGTGGTTCACCAACTGCTATCTCTAATTTTGATTTCATCTCCTCATCAGATATAACTTCTTCCCCCTCTATCTCTTTAACTCCTCAAAACATGTCTATAACTTCTCCTAGGACTCTCTCTTTCTCACGTTCAAATAGTGATAAATTTGCTCAACTTCCTACGCATGTTGAAGTTCTAATCATAATTCAAATCCTTCAACTCCCCTCCAATCTCCTTCCATATCTCCACAAAACAAGCAACCTCTTTCTACAATAATACCGTCTACTCCTACATCTTTGCAACCAACTTCAAATATACCTGTTTCTATTTCTAATCAAACTGTACAATCCTTATCTCCTAATAATTCTAATTACTCTCAACCATTAGCTTCCGAACAATCAGGTACTCGTTCACATGTCATGATTACTCGTTCTATGACAGGGTCTCTAAAACCACGTGTTCTTCCCTCACTTAGTGTCTCTCTTTCTAGTACACCTTCTGAACCAACTTCCTTCACACAAGCTGCAAAGGACCCTAGGCTCTCCTACAAAACCATACTTGAATATTAGTTCCTCCACCTCCCGATGTGAACATTGTAGGGAATAAATGGGTATATCGGATTAAGTGTGGTGCTAATGGTTCTATCGACCGCTTCAAAGCTCGTTTGGTTGCACAAGGATTTTCTCAACAACCAGGCTTAGATTATACAGATACCTTTGCCCCTGTGATCAAAATGAGCACTGTCCGTCTAGTGCTATCTTTAGCTCTTCTTAATAATTGGTGTATGCATCAACTGGATGTCTCTAACGCCTTTTTACATGGTGAGTTAAATGAAGTTGTTTATATGCGCCAACCCAGAGGTTTTGAACATCCAGATTATCAAACCATGTTTGCAAGTTAAGACGTGCACTTTATGGGTTGAAACAATCGCCTAGGGCGTGGTTTACTCGACTTGCTACTTATCTTTTGGACCTTGGTTTTGCACAATCTATCTCAGATCATAGCATGTTCATCTTTCGCAGAGAGAGTGCTATTTTGATTCTACTCGTTTATGTTGATGACATTGCTATTTTTGGATCATCCAAGATGCTTGTTTCTCAATTTATAACATCCATGAAATCTGAATTTGCAATGAAAGATCTTGGCTCCCTTCGCTATTTTCTTGGTGTGGAGCTAGTTCATAATAATGATGGGGTTCTTTTGTCGCAAAGGAAGTATATATTGGATCTTTTGCATAAGTTTGATTTGGCAGAAGTTAAACCTGTTCAAACTCCTCTTTACAGCAAAATTGAATGGCATTTTGATGCGACACCACTTCTTGATGATCCTTCTCTGTATCGCCAAATGGTAGGTAGCCTTCAATACTTACCATTTACGCGGCCGGATATACAATTTGCTGTGAACATGGCTTCACAATTTCTCCATCAACCTCGGCTAGTTCATCTTCAAGCTGTTAAGCGGATTTTTCCTTTTCTTAAAGGAACACATTCTCATGGCTTGCAGCTCTGCAAACAGTCCTCCGTCTCTCTAACAATATTTTCAGATTCGGACTGGGCAGGTTGTGCGGCAACTCGTCGATCAACATCTGGATTTTGCATCTTTCTTGGGAATAACTTGGTCTACAAAGAAACAACCGACTGTTTCCCGCTCCAGCACAGAAGCTGAATATCGTGCACTAGCTGTTGCAACTGCTGAAGCTACATGGATACAATTTATCTTACGTGACTTGGGCATTTATCTGCGTACTCCTATTCTTGCAAAATGTGATAATATTGGTGCCATACATCTGGCGCATAATCCAGTATTTCACTCCAGATCGAAACATGTCGCTTTGGACTATCCTGTTATTCGAGAGAAGATTAATCAAGGTGACCTTACTGTTTCTCATGTTCCAACTTCGCAACAGCTTGCACATGTCTTTACTAAAGCTGTATCTGCTGCAAAATTCAAGGAGTTTATGTCCAATCTTCATGTTCGTTCCTCACCTTCAGATTGAGGGAGGGTGACAAGGGTATTATTGTAATTAGTATTGTACGCATATGTTGTAGTTAGTTTCATTGACAGTTTCTTGTATCTTAATATAAATAAGAGTACTTCTAGCCTCTTAAACTCAAGCAGGCCTTTTGTATTTTAAAATTCAACTTTCCGCACCAAATGGAGCTCTGCCTCTTCCGCCGCAGTTTAAGAAAATCTTCATCTGCCTGCTGATTATGTATTTTCTCACGTCAACCTGTGATTTAATTTACTGCAGAAGTAAATAATTAATGTGCGCCATTTGATACGATGGAAGTAGTCATTTTCTACGAAAATCTTTTCTATGATTAAGTCCTATATTCGTGTTTGATTACCATAAAATGTTGGGAAGTTATTTTCTTACAAACTTTTAATTTTATATCGCTTCGTCCAACCAATACTTATATAGCATTATCAACCTTTAATACTTAAAATTATCCATATTAATTTCTGTTACTTTTCTTTATGCTTGGATGTTATAAGATCTCGGGCAAGAAGAAACTCATTATTGGGGAAAATTGTGTTCCATTACAGCTCAAGATATTTGTTTCACTTTGCAAGTGATGATTGAAACTTTACCAACCATTCATTCAAAAAAAATATAATGTAATTTCATGCAACTTGTTGCAATAAAACCACTTTGCGGTCACAAGAATCCATTTTTAACAAGTTGGTTATGATGTTCTAAATAGAACCCCAAGAATTTTTAGGGAGAGGCAGAAATTGAATTTGAAATCAAACTTTCTATATTGCTATTATAAAAATCACCAAGAATTTATAATTTATATTTATAATATAAAGAAAGGGAAAGGCACTGAGAGGAGAAAAAAAGCTAATTTTAGTGATCTACACAGGTGCTGTCTTTATATGGTCAATGCACTTGCAGAACTCATTAATTTATTGTACTCTTCTTGTTTCAGAGACCCCACTCAGATTCTAAATCTTGCTGTGTGCACCATTAATTGCTTTTTCTTTTTGCTGGGATTAAAAATGAATCTGTTATTTCCTTAGAGGATATTTATTCCGTTCAAAATGTTACAGATTTATTTTCCTAAGTCAGTTATGTAAAACATTGCCCTAACATTCGAATTCTTGGTGTAATGTATATGATCAAAATCTGGCAATGGGATCATAATCTAAACCTAACATTATTACTATGTTGTTGAGGAATTAAAAAAAAAAAAAAAAC